GCACAAGATATACCTTTCTCCGTGAAAGCCGGCAAAAAATTATACGCAGAAATAAAAATATTCTCGAATTTAAGCAAAAAGCTAACTGTAGGCGTAATTCAAACAAGCACTTCAAAACGGCCATTGTTGTTCTTGGTGGTGGAGGAACGGGCTGCTCCAATGCCACGCTCCCCCTTATACTTTTATTACTGGTAACGATCCTTTAAATCACTTGCACATGTGCGAGTCAATTACTGCCAGCAATCAACATACCAAAACACATCAGCGTGGCATAATGCGCAATTGTGTCAGCTTTTACAATTTGCCATCAATTTGTTTCCAGATTGGCCCCTTAAAGATGAAAATGCATTCGCGCTCGTGGACGTTTCCCCGCACCGCCGTGAAAATGCGGCCCTGAATCGGCTTTAGGCTAGCCGTCCAGCAAAGACGGTCACCGCATCGCGCGCTTTCAGATGCGCTCCTGCGGCCGTCTGGAACGCTCTTCCTTCCGATAATAGGAAGCCACCGAAGCTATGCACTTTTAAATCATCATCTAGATTGAAGACTTTATAACTGCTTTTTTGCATTTAGTTTGTTGTCCTTCCCCCGGACCTCCGATTAGCACGGTTGGCAACGTACGGTGTGAAAGAAGTTCAACGTACATATATACATACAAGCGGCGGTGGTGGAGGAGGCTCCCGCTTGCCAGCCGGGGATGGCACCTTTTCAAATGCGCGGCGCGGTTTATGAGATGCGCCTCGCCTGGTATGCAGGAGGTCGTTGGTTCCATCCCAATCCTGACACTTGCATGTTTGGAGTTTGCATGTTCTCGCTGTCTCTCCTCGTGGTCGCGTGGATTTCTCTCCAGTTGCTGCTATCCGGCTGCTATAAATTTACACACGATGATAAGCCACCTCGTTGAGCGTTCATTTGCAGCCAGGCGGCTTCTGAAGAAGAGCTGTATAGCTCAGTGGGCCTTGCCTGGTCAAATAAAAAGTTTACTTTTAGTTTCTAATTTGAGAGATAAACGGCTGGTAATGATTTTTCAGGAGCCGCGTCTTCCTTGATCGGCGGAGGCTCATTGATAGTTGACAATGGCTTGTTTGTTATGAATAAGCTTCAAGCGCTTTTACGTTTTTTGTTACTTGTTGTGGCATTTCGTTCTCTAAAAAAAACCTACTTTCCGTAGAGCTTACATAATTGCGTTTTTATGTGTGTGCTTAATGGACGCATAATGTGTTGTTTGGCCTTTTCAATGAGACGTTTTCCATTCCTCTTTGCACTAATCGTGACTCCTGCTGTTGAAATTTAGTGGGAAAAAAGCTGGAAATGTTTCTTGTTTGCTGCATCCAGTCAAACTATGGCTTTATTGAAACTGCAATTGAAGGTGGAAACAAACACACGCACACACACACGTATTTTCGTTTTGAGTCTTCATGCACCATTTAGATTTCTCAACGGGAGAGGTGCATTCCATGAAATACATGCATGGCCAGCATATACATATAAATATACACTGCGAGCTGCATTCACATGTTTACTTTTCGTAACATTTCATAAACCCCTGCCAAGAAGCACAGCCTACCCCCCCCCCCCCACTTCTGGTAACCATGGGAACCGTACAGATGGTTAATTGATCCGCCGTAGGGGTTCCGTGTAGGGTAATGTGCCCTAAGTAGAGAGTTGCTGTAGTTTTTACGCTTTTGTGAGGGATGGAGCAGTGGCACGGTGGGTAGTGCAGTGCACTATGAGCCTGCTGTCCTGAATTCAATCGCCTGTCACGTCTAACAATCAGCGGGGTGTCAAATCTCCACTGGTCCTGGGCCTTCCCCTCCACCAGCTTGGAGAAGTGTGGTCAAATAACCCCCGCTACCGGCAATGGCGTGGGGAGTTTTACATCGTGGTGAATCTACAAAGGGTTGTGAATATACATTATTTTGGGTCGTGTATACGGTCATATTCAGCCATGATCTGTCCACTGCTTGATGAAGGCCTCCAAAAGCAGGCGGCGTCCCTCAGGGTTGCGCTGTGAAGCAGCATTCCACCTCTCAGTGAATTGGGAAAAGGCTGTAAATTAAAAGCCCTCATCAGTTGACTCATCTAGATACAAACTGTTTCTTCCTGTGTCCAGGGACCAGTTAAATATTTCGCCAAGACCTCTGCGCTTGCTCTCTCTCTCCGAGACACATTGCAGTCGCATAAGCGCATATTGAGAGATTTATTTTGGGGCATGTAAAAAAATGCAAGTTCTCGGTGACTTGAAGCCAGAGATGGTAGAACACCACATTGTTCCACGCTGACTCTGCTAGCGTGCCCTGTTTGAGTTGGCTGAGTGTCTCGCCTTCCTTAACAAAACTTCCCTTCCATATGAATCGGGGAAGTCACATCTGGAGGGGTCGGGTTTCAGTGCTCGGTAGCCGAGAAAGCCACACAAGCCATGAAATTGTATTAGGCTGTTGCTTGCTTGCCACCTGTCATTAGGTCTGCTGTGAGATAAGTTGTGCTCGAGTGACCTCACTCGTAAGTAGTGAAATGTTTTGAACAAAAGTGGATTGTTCACGCTTTTCGACCAAGGTTGACAGCGTTGATGCATTAGTTCTGTCCGTCTGTCCGTCTGTCCTTCTGCCTGTGTCTCTGTCATGGGGTTGCTGGGGTGTGACGAGGTGGTGGGGTGATTATAACCTACCAATGTTGGTACTATTTGAGTCAAATGAATTTAATGCCAACTTACGTGGTATACATTAACTGGAGCCTTACATTTGAACTTAAATTATACTTTGAACTACCGTGCAAATATTTGCTCTTACAAACCCTGAAAACTTTTCTGAGTAAGAATATTTCAAGAAACAGTTTAAGTCTTTCAGAACCTAATAAAAATAAAAATTATATCACAAAGCATATTTCCTAGTGTTCAGCGGTACACATTTCAAAACACAACCCCTAATGGGCCCCAAAGATCACGTGACAACTCCTTCACCGTGCTTGCGAACTCTAGCCATTCGACAATATTTGCCACGTATTACCGTGCGTTCATTTGAAACGTCTTGCGCAAATCACATTTTTAATGCGCAACAAACGGCCCCATCGCTGTGATTATCTGGAGCGCTGTGGCCCTCCTGTTTACAAAATGCTCACTTGACCGGTCTTGCTCGATGGGGTGCAAGACCAAATAAAACAGTCCCCTCTGTGAGCTCCTAACAGCAAACCTGGCTGACATTTTAAAAAGTGGGAAAGCATACAGTTAATAAAGTCACGTTGCAAGTCGAGAATTCTGAGTTGATGGTAGCAGGTAAATATTTACGCCCAAGATGTTGGGAAAGCTGTCCCATTTTTACAACGGTCGTCACTTTAAGGACGCGTGGCAGCTCTGGCTAATCGTGAGGTAGCGCCGCTCACGCACGGTTGTTTGTGGCGCCGTCCTCACCGCCCGTCCTTCACCTTGTGAGAGGTTCCTGCATCTTTTGTTTTGTTTAGCGCATGAAAACAAACTATTAAGTTACACCAATTAATTATACGAGTGTATTTTTTGCCAGGTTACAGATTGCCTACATGTGTTCAGTTTTTTTCCAAATACATATACACTTTAGTTCTATGTACTCAAGTGTTTTGCCCGGGTTTCTGATGACGCTTAATGGGTCTGACTTGGCCGGGAACCTACACTAAACAGTAACACAATGCGAGCATTGTAATGCTTGCCGGCCTGTGGAACGCGGGACCGCGAGCAACGTAACGTGCGGCTTTGCTACGAACTCGCAGAACGATCATCCATCATTCGCCGGAAGGACCACCTTTTTCGCGAAGGGCGCGCATCGCATGTAACGATTGTGCTGAGGGGGGCCCCCGTAACCCCTGAACAGAGGGTCACTTGGGGTGAATGCTCATTTGTGGCTCGTACGGGGATTAAGGTCGTTAAAAATCCACGGGTGCGCCCCCCTGCTTGGAGTTGCATTGAAAGAGGAGCGTTGTGGATTATAGAAGATACGCAGGTAAAGTTGACCACTTTGAGTTTTAAGAATAGTAAGTGGGGTCGGGTAGGACACTTCGCTGGAAGGTGTGATGGATGGTGGGCGAGAATAACAACAGAATGCCAGCCAAAAGGTAGCATCCTCCCCCCCCCCCTTTGTATTAGTATGTCCACCGCAGTGATGTAGATGATGAAAATTAACTCGTGTGCAGGTGAAAGGTGGATTGTTGCGCCGCATTGTGGAGAGCGGTAGTTGTGGCGGTTAGCGCGCTGCGCTATAAACCTGGCGGCCCGAGTTCGATTGTCGCTCACGGCCACCGCCAGTGACGATTATCTAGACTGGTCCTAGGCCTCCCATAGGTTAACTCAGCCTCAAATGAGTACCTGGTGCGGTGTGTAGTAAACATCGCCACTGGAGAGACAAAGGCGGTCAGACATGGCGCTGGCCATCCACCCCCGGGGGTCTTAGTTACACCGCATGACCGTGAGAGATGATGACCACTCAAGGAGGCCTTCATCCCTCTTCACTTACCAGCGTGATTTGCGCACGCCAGTCACGGGGAATTTACCACCAAGCCGCTCGATTGTGGCCAAGAGGCAAACGACCCAGAATGTTTCCCGACCTCATCTTCAGATCTGAAGAGCTAAATAGGATTGAGATTTGCATGGGTGATGACCATTTCCAAATAGGTTGCTTATAGGGATGCGGGGCCATGTGGTAGGGAGGAGAGGGCAGTAAATAATAAAATCCATTGTTGTCTTATATTGTACTTCTCTGATGCATTAATTTGTGCTACCCGCCTTTACCATCCCATCCCCTTTCCCCCCAGCTTTTGTTGTGATTCAGAGTCATGATTCGATTTATAAATAAATTTCGTTAGTGTCAGCCGGGCCACGTGATCTGATCATATACAATGTACACCGCATGTATTGCTGTATCGTGAGTGAGAGACTACACACGAATCGATGAACCGACCACACTGGGGCTCTGGAATAATGTGTATACCTCCGATATATATATATGTGCCTGTGTGCGTGTGCGTGTTTGCGCACGCAGGACGAGTACGCGACAGATGGCCCTGACGTGGGCTATGGCTCGTTCCACCAGCAGTACTGGGTGGACGGGCGTCTGATCGCCGTGGGTGTCTTGGACATTCTCCCACGCTGCCTGTCCTCCGTGTACCTCTACTACGACCCCGACTTTGCCTTCCTCTCCATGGGCATCTACTCCGCGCTCAGGTGCGCTGGCGCGGCCCCCACACCCCCGATGTTACACAGCCTCCTTTCTACCGCAGTGGTAGTCCCCTGTCTTCTGCTCCCTTTAGAACTGCTTGTTGTGTTTAGTTTGTTGTCCTTCACCCGCACCTGCGATTAGCATGGTTTGCTACGTACGGTGCGAAAGAAGTTCAGCACACATACATATGTGGATGATCGGTTGTGTGTCCACTCAGCCTTACGCAAATAGTCATTATAAGTGCTTTCGATATGGGTTGAGGAGCGGTGGCACAGTGGTTTGCGTGCAGCGCTATGAATCTGGCGACCTGGCCACGGCTAACATCGGTGCCGATTGATATGTGAACTGATCCTGGGCCATCGCGTCTTCACCAAGCTGTATTGAAGAGTGTGGTGAAGTATGGTCGAGCAACCCGTATGACCGAGACAAGGCATGGGGGGGCCTTCATCCAGCAGTGGATTGACAAAGGGCCGCAAGTAAGTGTAAACATAGGTCATACATTAACCCTACTACCACTTCACGTGGAGTATCAGAGTTTGTTGCGTCTTTGCGGCGCTTTATCACTTTAGTTTATCTGACTGCAATGCCTGCCAAGTGTTCACAATCATTGCGTCTTAATGGTGCAATGCACAATGCATTATTCATACACCTAAAGTGTATTCCGCTGTGGACTAGTATTGATTGCCTTGCCTATTTATTGCAACACTTTGTGAACATAGTCGGTGCTTGGATTCTTGCGATAAAAGTCATTTGTTTGCACGGGTTTCTTGCGCTCAAAGTATACTGTGCGGGCTCACAACAGAATTATCGTGAAATTGATGTGAACAGCACAAAATGATGAAGTATCAAATTACGTTCGCATCTGATTTCAATAATGAGAAGCTGGAAGTTAATTGCGTGCGTTTACCCTGGAGACTGGTTCACCACAGTGTTTGGTAGCTCCCTACGCATGCATTGGAACATTTCGTCATTCCCTGATTGATCTATTTGCTTCAGATTTCCCCAGTGCAATTAACTAACGAGGCTCTTGCAGTGTATTAAAGGGGTTCCCTAATTTAACATTTCCTTTGCTTAAGATTCTCGATGATTTTTAACGACTAAACTAAAAAAATCCACCCAAAGGGATGTCTTTATAATTCTGCTCTGAAAAACCCAACACTTATCAAACAGGTATTTTGGAGATCTGTAAAGCTGTGGCCACAACACTGCTGCATCTGTGACTTATATTCGGGTCCCTGTATGTCACCCCTGTAGGACTTTCTGAGTATTCACACGCCATGATTGAAAGCTCTGCTGAGAGCAATTCATACAACTGAAACCGATACGGAGTTTGCCATTATTTGCCAATGCTCCTGGAAAACATTGGTTCGGAAGGCGAATTATTCTACTCTGTTATAACCCACAGTGGAACGGTGGTGCAGCGCGTTGAACCATAAACTCACCGACCCAAGTTCATTTCCCGCTCACGGCTAACCTCAGTGGCAAGTCGTATATCTGAACCGGTCCTGGGGCTTCCTGCCCCACCCTTCACTATCCCAGCTGAGCAGTGTGATGAGGTGTAGTAAAACAATGCTGACGACTAGAAATGGCATGGGCAGGCTCTAATCCAGCAGTGGAATGACAAAAAGCTGCTCATTATTACCCACAGTCTACCACGACAGTATGTAATACTTGATTAAGTGTTTGAATGCACGCACAAATACTTTTTAATTTCGCGTACTGCTTAACTTTGAACACTATCGCAAGGATTTGAATAGCCACCCGTCTGTCCGTGTGTTAACGTCCTCAAAATCACGTAATCAAACGGAGCACATGCGGCGTGGACAACCTGGAATATTAAGCCGAGCGGTGTCCGTATAGCAGTGTACCAGATGGCACAGCCGCTTGTCTGCTCGTGCTGTGGAGTGGCCCAGCTGTGCCGCTCACTGCTTTTACATTAACCCTCAAGTGCCACCAACCGGCTAATGGAGACACTCGAGTTGTTTTAGTGTCCTTTTGTTTGTCCACATTCCAGAGCCGCTGTGCGGTGGCTTGATAGCAGGCGCGCCGCCCTGCCCATCGCTCGCTCGCCCGCTTTGGCGCGTGCGGGAGATGCCCTTCCGAGCATAACACTGGTCAACAAAAAAAAATTCTGGCCTGGACTTTTGCAGCTGTTTTAGACTAATTTCAGGGTGCTGATTCCAAATCTGATTTCAGATTTGCTCGATCACATCTCATTTTTATGCTATCGGCATACCCCATTTTCATTGATTTTACCCGAAATTAACTCTGTCGCTTATGATTGCAAGTTGTTGCGAGTCAGTGACTGCTTTATTTATAAAATATGGTGCTGTATTTTTAGGATGGTGTGTTTATAATATCATTTTATGTAGATATCCACATTTATTTAATATTTTTCTTCTGCAGTTTTTATTGAAAATGTAATATTTGATATGCCAGATTTGGAATCAGCACCCCAAAATTACCTTAAAACCGTTGGAATACCTTATGCCAGAAAAAGTGTGTTGACCAGTGTTATCGGAGGCCGTGGCACATAGCAACGCGCTCCCCAGAGCTTCGTTGAGAAGATGCCGTGGTCAATATAGGATTTAAATAATTAAGCATATGATTAGGTTATGGTGTCTCTAAATGGGAAAACAAATTAGTTCTGGAGGAAATGTGTGAAATGTTATTTTTCTGTCCCATCAGCCAGCTCGCTAACTGAAATTTACATGAAATATTAAAAATGTTTAACGGCTCTGGTTTATTAAATCTACTGTCATCTGTCCGGTACAATGTGTTTATTCCCGGCAAGATGTTCTCTGGAAAAAGGCGTGTTTATGATTTAGCTATTCCCTGTTATAAGTAATCGTTATTTATCAACGTTATTTAAAAAAAATCCCTGAGTACTGGGCATCTAATAATTTCCCTTCGACCTCCCCCCACACTAGCGTGCTGTGTATCTCTCCGATGTGTATTCTGCTTTTACCGCTTATCATTCAGCGTGATGTGCGGTCGTGTTCCCGGTGAGCGCGCTGCGTGACGAACCTGGCACCCTGCGTTCGATTCCCGCTCAAGGCCAACAGAAGACGATTATCTGAACTGTTCCCGGGCCTCCCCTAGGTTAATATTTGCGTCCGTGGTTAAATCAGGAGCCTACGTGCTTATATTAGGTTTCAGAATCGCGTGAGTTATTTACTTGCTTGCTTTATAAGTGTAAATTATTCTTCAAATGAGTACTCATGTGTAAACCGTAACTATGGAGACAAAGGCAGTCGTGCGTGCTGCTGGCCACCCACCCCCTCGTGTGCCGTGTCGCCCTTTATAGATACTCACTAGCAGCACTTGCCCCAAAATTCTGTTAAGTCTATACGGCGGGGTGGGAAGCTTTGTCTTGTCTTTGTTCGACACACTACACTCGGTGTAACTCGAAAACTAACCGGAGCGCTGTAGCGCACGGCCAACCGACCCCGGAGACCTTTGCAGAGTTTGCTTGCTTCACCCAAACTTCTCTTGTTGTTGTCGGTCTTGTTTTGTTCGATGCAGAGAGGTGGCGTTCACACGGCAGCTGTACACGCAGGCGCCGGCACTCCGCTACTACTACATGGGCTTTTACATCCATTCCTGCCCCAAGATGAGATACAAGGTGAACTCAGCTCTTTGTCTGTTGTTGAATCCGCAATTCTGCAACGTCAACAAATTATACAAGGGGCGCAAAATTGCAGAGGAGAGGCGGTAAGCGGCTCAAAAAAGCGTGCATATTATCCATCATTGACATCATCGTCATCACTATTCAGTTATTTAAATGTGCCTAGCTTTCAGATTACGTCTCGAGAACATGAACGTTAAATTTCGATTGAAAGCTTTCGTGACGGCAGGGATTCATATTGTTGGTTCTTTCGGTAAAGTCACATAGAAGGGAAAAAAAAATTATCACGACGTTTCGAATGCAACACAAGCAATCATCAGGTGTGAAAACCACAGCAAAACATTTATTTGCTTTGGTTTTCACACCTGATGATGATTGCCTGTGTTGCAATCGAAACGTCGTGAGAATTGTATTGTTTTATTTTTATTATTTTATTGTTTCCCTTCTACGTGACTTTACCGAAAGAACCAAGAATAACATGAACGTTGTACAGGGATGAGCAATGCGGGGCGTGAACCTTGACTGGTGAGAGCGGGGGAAAATAGTTCTCTCGCCTTGGAGTTGGAAAGAATTTCCCACCGTGTTAGATTTTACTGTTCGTCACCACTAGGGGTCGCTTGGTGCATCCGATCGTAAATCAAACCCGCAGATTTGGCCCTATATGGATGCGGTGGGGTAGCCGTTCCGCATTTAACTCGAGAATCAACAGTAGTAGTCCGAGGCGATCACTCCCTGTGTGCAAGGCCTCAGTGTCGTCTCGCCACCGAATGCATTGTATTCGGCGTTCAATGTTAAGGAAATACAGATGTGTGAGTTTATTGAATGGAATCAAAGATGGCCTTTTGCACGTCCCGGACGTTCACAACGCCTTAGTTGGAGTGTTTAAAACTCTACAGTAGGTCCGCCTAAAAAAGGTCAGGCCTGTTTATCCAAGTTGGAGTGGATCAGAGTGTGTTTGTTCTCGCTAAGCAAGCATATTTTTAACTTGAAGAAATTGAATCTCCGGCAAGTCATGAACTCTGGCTTTAAATAGGTTATTTATCCTTTCCTTTACCGAGAGGATATTGCAGCTACTCGCGCCGATTTTTATCTCGAAAGCTTTTAAAGGATTTAATTATTTTTACACTTTCTCCACTGTGTACTGCGGAATACAGTGTATTACATTGTGTGTGCGGTAAAAAAAAAACGCGGCGCCTTTACGAGCAGGGAGACGTTTTCGCTGTTTAACGTGTGGGCTGCAGAGCACAGACGAACAAATAAAAAATTTTACCCGTAAAAACAAAGTTTTTCACTCTAAATCCTTTATATGCGTGGCGACTTGAGTCCTCTCGTCCTCTGGCTTGAGATGGCTGCCACCTATGGGTCAGATGATTGTCTGCAGTATTAAACAATTGGTAATTAAATATTTAATTTGTTTTCCCTAAACAGTGTAAAATTTAGGAAATTTTTTTTCACGAACATTCATTGTCTCGCACAACGAGTCTGTGTGCAAAATGTCAGCTCGATTGGATCACGGGAAGTGGGTTAAAAACGACCGAAAGATTTGCACGGTCGTAAGCAAGCAAGCAAGCACGCAAGCACGCAAGCAAGCAAGCAAGCGAACTTAATATAAAGGATTTAAAAATAGTGCAAATGTGAGCTCGGGCATCACTCGGCCACCCTCCATGGTACACGCTGCACGCCACATCGCCCGACCGCCTTCTGTGGCCACACGCTGCCCACCACATTGCCCGGCCACTTTCCGTGGCACACTCTGTGCCCACCACATTGCCCGGCCACCTTCTGTGGCACACTCTGTGCCCGCCACATCGCCCAGCTGCCTTCAGTAGCACACCTTGACCGTCACATCGCCCGGCAGCCTTCCGTGGCACACTCTCCCCGCCACATCGCCTGGCCGCCTTCCGTGGCACACACTGACCGCCACATCGAACGGTCCCTACGCTTGAATATTCGCTCGTAATTCCGCAGCGGTACGCGGCAGGCTCCGGCGCAACCCTAAAGTGCAAGGCAAATATGAAGTAAGATGCAGCTCTCATGCGTGGACATGTGGCTTTGGCGTGAGAGCTTGACTGTATGCCTGCCACGTGCTACAAAGGGGGCCATTGTACCTAGGCCTTTGCGTATTTTGGCGAGCAAGTGGCGCATTTTGAGTAATTGCCACCTGCCCATCAAGCATGAAGGCTGTGAGGATGTGTGCACAGCACGGATTCACGGGCGGGGGGGGGGGGGGTGCTGATTTGTTCAGTGTGAAAATCATACGCGCTTATTGTATCATGAATATATGGTTTCAGGGTGGTATTCATTTGTTTTAACTCGCCGATGGTGATTATTATTATTAATGATCATCAAAATTCACGATCACAGATGAAAGGATGCGCTTTAGCCGTAGAGAATATTAGAATTTTCTTTCATACAAATTAATTTTTTGGAGCGACAAAAAATATTTTCCAAATAGTTGAAGAACAAATGCCAGCGGCAATGCAATTTTGAGGGACGGATTTGTGGAGATTGCGTGTTCTGTTTGAGCTGTGGCAATCTCTGTGGCCTTAAAAAAAAACCCAGAGGCCGGTTCCGTGGTGTATAGGGTCGGGTCAATGACCCGAGCACCGGGGGAGAACCCAGGAATGCCGACCTGGTTGCCCGGCAAACCTTGACATTGCCACGTCTGGCCAGCTAATGGGACGAGGGTCAGCTACTTTCACTCGGCGGTCAGTGTCTGCGTGTCTGCGAGCCATCTCCGGAGCTGCAACCTGATTAGCCCTGGCACGGAGGCGGCACTCGCCGTGGCATCTGTGGCGACGCAGTGAAAGGGCAGCGGTGGATTTTCTGCGAGGATGGGTGGGTGGCTGGGGGGCCGGCTCGGATGAGCTTAGCTCACTCGATCCATCCACTCCGTCTTGTCTATGACATCGCCGCTTGACAAGCAAATGGGCGATCGCCTTGTTTACATTTTCTGTTTTTTTGGGTGTAATCTTGTATGGGTGTGATAAAGGGCTTTTTTTTATATAAGTTAGGCTTTGTTTTGGAATGTTTACATTGAACACAGGGGTGCGACGTGCTTTGCCCATAAAATAATTTTTGATTGCATCTGTCTTGTGAAAAAATTAGCCGCCAGCATGTTTAATTGCAAGCTGTGCAGAGATTTCATTAAATTGTCTTTCAAAATAATGTTCACATTGAATTTGAAACACACGTCAATGTAAATTTCAGTATTACTGTACAAAGTTGTATCAAATGCTTAATTATTTAGTTATACCGTTGAGCTCTCCACCAGCCGCGGGTGGGTGTTTAATTTATAATCCAACGTTGGATGCGAAACGTGTCGAACCCTGCTTCTACAAAAGGGGCAGCACGTCAGACAAACACAGCCCCGGGCCATTGAAATATATATTCCTTCAGCGTAAAGCCAACTGATTCTGATAACCTCATCTCATATCACTCTGCCGCTTCACCCGAGCTACCGGTCTCTTTCATGTCCCCATATCACCCGTGAAGCCGGTCCACCGCTCGCGCTGTTCCCTCACCGTTCTGCTGGAAACGTTCACACTGCCCCCGGACCGGCCGTCCATTGTGCAGGGCGATGAGATTTATAAACAGAGACGGAAGATTATGCCCTTGTCGCGGCACAGCTGGATGGCTTTAAGGAACGGGGCAGGGTGAAATTAGGTGGCGAGCGGTTCTGCTGCACCTGGGTTTTTTTTGTCTTGGCTATGTGGGCTACCTCTCGTCCGCTGACCCTTTTGGCGATCGTGTGATGGAATTCAGGCTACAAGGTTGTCTGCGCTGTCCTCCCCGGTTGGTTCTGCCCCGCTGTGCGTTTGCGTTGCGTACGTGACCAGACTGCACAGCCGCACGCGGATGTTTGTCCAGAACGCTGGTCCATTTGGATTGCTCTATTAGTGGACACCTTGGTAATGGTATTTCAGTCAATGTCTGAAAAGGGTCTGCTCTCTTAATACATCCCAAGGAACCCAATTAACTTGGCTTATCAGTCTTCAGCCATAGTTTCAGGATGGGCGGACTGAGTTTAATGGGTTTTTTTGTTTTCAGGTTATTTTTGGGTACATGTATTGCGCAGTCATTTAGCAAACTGCCCTATGAACCCGACGACCCGAGTTCAATTCCCCGCGATGGTTAACATCAGCGGCGAGTGATATCTGAACCGGTCCTGGGTTCCCTCTTCGCTGGCCTGCATTGACCAACCCGACAAAGGATGGTAAGACAACCTCTATAATCAACAAGGTGTGGGAAGGTCTTCATCAAGCAGTGTTATAACAAAAGGCAGAAGTTTATGACAACTATATATTTTTATCGCATCCTTGGAATTACATTGAGAGGCGGAAAGATGAACACATGGATTAGAGAACATGCGTGTGTTAAAGACATCAATCAAACTGTTAAGAAAACTAAGTGGGCTTTTTGCAGGAGGTGTCTCGTAGGGACGATGGATTAATGGTCAAAATCGTGATGGAGTGGCAGCCAAGGAATGGAATGCGTCCGAGTGGACGTGCATTGAGGGGATGGAGCGATGAGATCGGCTCGTGTGCAGGTGCGAGGTGGATTGTCACATCGCGTGATCGTGGGGGTGACGGTGCCTTGGGGGAGGCCTTCATCCAGCAGTGGATTGACCATGACTGATGATGAAGAGTATTATGTTTCTCCTTGGCTAACTTAGCATTTCCACATTCTAAAAGTTTAAACGCAAAACTTTGTCCGGCAGCGAGTAAAAAAAAAAAATCAAAGGCGACAAAACACTTTGTGCACCTAATTGGGTGTTCTCGACGACTTGAATCGCCTGTGACTCGGCTTTAGCCACCGGAACCGAGCGCCACGTTGTTAATCTTTGGTTGTGCGGCTACAAAATTGGAGATGGCGTCGGGTGCAGAAGGCACATGTGCCAGGTGCTCAGGAAGCATGACCCGGCAGCCCCGCAGGATGTGAACCGTTGTGCCAAGAGATCACGGCTTGAAGTCCCGCACGCCAACGCCTGTACCAAA